GATCTAGCAGCTCATCAGTGGTTAGTTCTTCATTGTCCTCCTCCACCAACTCTTCCACATCCTCCCCACTAACCTCCAACCCCAAGGACTTCCCCAATGCCACAATGGATTCCTCAACTGGCATAGGCTTCTCAGGGTTAGCCTCAAACCCTTTGAAACCCCTTTTGTCTACACATTCTGGCCACAGTCTTTACCAGGTAGAGTTCAAGGTCTTCTTAGTCACTCCCTCCCAAGCCTTACCTATAAGTTTTACACAACTGAGGATAGTAAGTGATCTTCCAAAACTCCTTTTAGAGTCAATTGAGTTTCTGTGGTCACTCAAAGACCTTTCAAACATAGCTTTTGTGTACAGTTTCTTGAAGTTGGAAATGACCTGCTGGTCCATGGGCTGCAGGAGAAGAGTGGTATTAGGAGGCAAAAACTTGACCTTAATGAAATCATGCCCCCACAAAGTCCTTGACAAGTCTGTAGGATGACCAGGGGCATTGTCTAATACCAGGGGGCACTTAAGGTCTAATTCCTTTTCAATTAGGTAATTTTTCACATTGGGGGCAAATGCATGGTGTAACCAGTCATAGAAAAGTCCCTAGTGACCCATGCCTTACTGTTTGCCCTCCACAGCACACACAAATTACCCTTGAGGACATTCTTTTGCCTGAACACTCTGGGATTTTCTGAGTGATACACCAATAAAGGCTTCGCTTTGCAATCACCACTAGCATTGGAACACATAAACGAGTAAGCCTGTCTTTCATAGGCTTATGCCCTGGGGGGTGCCTTTTCCTCCTCGTAATGTAGGTCCTGCTTGGTAATTTCTTCCAAAACAGGCTGTTTCGTCACAATTAAACACTTGTTCAGGTTTAAATCCTTCAGCCTCTATGTATCCTTGAATTCATGCACATATTTTTCAGCGCTTTGGGGTCTAAAACTGGCAGCCTCACCATGCCTAATCACACTATGTATACCACTACGATTCTTAAATCTTTAAAAACCAACCTTTGCTGGCCTTAAATTCACTCACATCACCACTAGTTGCAGGCAATTTTTTTCCCAAATCGTCATGCAACTGCCTAGCCTTTTCAAAATGATTGCTTGAGAGATGCTATCTCCTGCTATCTGTTTTTCATTTATCCACACCAATAACAGTCTCTAAAACATTTTTAACACTTCGGTTGCTGTTTCGTAATCCAGTTGTACCTTTTGCAAGGAACAGCTTCCTTGATTGCCGTTTTCTTGCTCACTATAGTAGAGATGGTTGATTGGGGTTTACTATACAACTGACCAGCTCCCACACACGCACTCCCACTTTCGTACTTAGCAATTATCTCTTTCTTCATTTCAACAGTCATTAGCACCCTTGGTCTCGAAGGGTTGGCACTGGGAGCTTTCTTGGGGCCCATGTTGACTTATTTTGCAAAAACAGGCACCAAAAACAGTGATAATATGGAATGTACCGAATGTATCCTTAGATGCACGCACACTGGCTGGCTTGTAAACACTGGCACACATGGGGCAGTTCAGGCCACACATGGACACGTCTCGTACGAACCACATCACATACCGGGTTTTGTATTGGAAAGCGAGGCAAATTTTCTGCGATATAATGCATCGGTTACCGGATTTATCGGATACCGATAGCATTGCAAACCGGGGGTCCACTGTATAGTCTCCTGTGCACGAGTTTCTCAAAGATTTTGGATATCAATGGTAAGTTTGATATTGGCCTATAGCTGTCTAAACTATTTTTGTTACCCTAGTAATAGCTGTTATAACATTTTACTCGTATGCAAGTTGATTGTTCCACTGTATTGTATTACTACTACTATTACAACTTATGTTACTACTACTACTACGACTACCATAAGTATTACACCTAACCCCGAGCCTATAAATACCCTCTGTGTCCATGCATTGTTTGTAAAGGCTTGATAAAGCTCCTGGAGAATGAAACGTTGCCACAATAAAATCTCACATTAGTTGCATTTGTGTCCTTTTACTAAAATTGACATCATTTGATATTAACATGATAAACAATATTACATATTTCTACCAAACAACTGCTCTGTTCTCTTCCACCCTACCTTGGTAGGAGATGGCTCTTGTGGTAAAAAATAAAAAGCAGACCATTGATTAAGATGCAATCTGTTGGGATGTTTTCATTATACAGTGGAACCTCTGGCCACAAACGCTTCTGAACACGAACAAATTGGTTCACGACCAAAAAATTCGCCATTTTTTTGCATCTGGTCATGAACACACAATAAGGTGTGAACAAACAGCTGTGCCATTTTTTTCATGTGCCAATTTTCCCCACTTCCTGTTGTTTGTGTACACCTAACTCCTTTTTAAGTTTGTTTCTCTATTAAACTGTGCATTATTTTGTATAATTAAGAATTTTTCAAACTTTGATTACTTTTTGTGCTTAAAACTCTTAAAAATAAAAAACTGTTTACAGCGAACCGTTCATAGGGGTCTAGAATGGACTCGTGCAATGTTAGTTTTCTCTGTTGTTCAAGGTTTTCTCAGTGTTATTCAAGGTTTTTACATTTAGTTTACTATTACACTGTGCATTTTTTGGTATAATTAACTATTTTTGTGCTTAACAATCTTAAAAAAATATTTCCATACAGTTCGTAGGGGTCTGGAATGGATTAACTCATAAACGGTCCAAACATGTATATACACATTCTTACTGCTAGTGCCCCAAATGTACATATACATTTTATTTTTCCTGCCTCCAAATTTGGCACGATTGGCCTGAGATGCCTGGTCAGCATAGAATGGGTCTTAACACTCGGTGTGCACCATATTAAAAAAATCTGGGACCACTTAGTACCTTGTGGGAGTGCCAGTTAAAATGAGTGCCAGCTAGAGCAAACAGTGTGGCAAACACCAAGGATTCACTGATGTAATGTCATATTAACCCTTAAACGGTCCAAACATATATATATGTTCTCTCGCGTAGCGCCCGAACGTATATATACGTTTCCTTTGTCATTCGTTCAACGTTGGCACGATATGCCTGAGTCCCCTAGACATGAGAGAATGGGTGTGTGCACTGAGTGTGTGCCATATGAAAAAAATTGGGGATGCCTGGGTACCAAATGCTCTGTTTTCCTATTAAAAAAAAAATGATTTTTTTTCTCAAAAAATTTGGGGCGCTGCGCGAGTGAACGTATATATACGTTTGGACTGTTTAAGGGTTAACACTCCCCTTTTAAGAGGAAAGTGATGTTGACCTCAAGTTTAGGGTCTGTCTGTCTCTGTCTACCTATCTCTGTCTCTATCTCTCTCTTGTCTATCTGTCTCTGCCTATCTCTTCTTATATCTGTCTCACAGGTACACATAGATACAATTATACATAGTGTAAATTACCTAGGATAACCTAAAAAAATCCGAAGTGCTATACTGTGCCTGTAGATATAATGCATAAGAATACCTATTGGTTCACAGTGGCTCTCTCTGAGACAGAGAGAGAGACAAGCAGAGACACAGAGAAACAGACAGAGAGACTAGACACAGAGACAGATAAGCAGAGACAGAGATGCAGATGCTAATCAAATGTCATCCCTTATCTCATCTTATCTCTGCACCCTTGCAGGCACCCATCAAATGTCATCTCTTATCTCATCTTATCTCTGCATCCTCGCAGGTGCCCATCAAATGTCATCACTTATCTTATCACTGCCCTCCTGGATGCTTGTCACTGACATCATGCTTCAAGGGAACTTCTTTTTTCTTCTTCCTTCTCCTTCTTCTTTCTTTTTCTTTCTTCCTTGTTCTTCTTCTATACCCCCGTGTATCCAAAACATTGCTGGGACCTATAAATACTTTGTATATATTCCAAGACAATGGTAAATGACCAAGGCAGGTGTAAATGTCCACCTGTCAGTGTGTTTGTGACAATGTGAGTACAATTTTCAGTACCTAATATTAGTGTCAAAACAAAGATTGGTTATGAAATGACAAGAACTACTATAAATTGTAATTATCAGAACATAAAAATTATATAAAATAATATGAGAATGAGAAAAAAAGGTATATTGGCAACACTTCTGCAAGCGGTAGGACTCATTGTTGCTCCATCTTGCCCTCAGGTGATCGCCCTCACATCTGGGTAGGTACTGACCCTAATTTTTTTTTATCCTATAACACTAAGAAAAATATGCTCTTTATTTCTATAAAAAAAATTATTTTTTTATTTTTCAAAATATTCGGGGCACTGGGTGAGTGAATATACATGTTTGGACCGTTTATGGGTTAATCATATTTACATACATTCCAGCAGGGAAATTAGGTTTGGGTCACGACCAGAGTTTTGGAATGAATTATGGTCGTGACCAGAGGTTCCACTGGATGTTACTTGAAAAAAATTGTGGAATTTTTTTGATGATGCTGTGATATAATCATTTATGATGGTTCAAATTTAGGGGAAAAATATGGAATGCCATGGGAGCTTTTCCCCCACCTCTTGGCCAGACTGTGGGTCAGGAAATTATCCTTATAGGGGATGACTAGTCACACTTAATGTACACAACATCCTATGCCTCACCTCTGTGCATACACATCCCATACTATATAGGCATACCTCTTTAATATGTCACTTGGTTTAGAGGGCTTTGCTAATACGGCACTTTTCAATTATATTCGTGTTTATTATTTTTTGGCACTTGCCTTCCTTTTAAGATGGGTTTTTGGCAATTAAAACAAAGTTATTTATTATTTTTACTCTTGCATAGTTTTTAGGCCTAGTGCTGTTGCTTACTTTTATATGCACTGGCAAGTGAAAAAAGAAGACCGATTCACTTTAAGGTGATATTTGCTTTACAGTGGCTGTCTGGAACCTAACCCTCTGTTCACTTAGAATTTCTCCATTTTTTTCACTATGGTTATTTGGCACATTATGATGTCACCTGTTTAATGTGATCTTATTGCATGTACATATTTATTACACATACATGCACAATGAAATTAATTTACATGCTCTTTGCATTTTGCAGAGCAGGAGTTGTCATCTCTGGAAGGAGTTGGAGTTCGTGGACCCAGGGAAAGTATTAGAGCCTTCCTGATGAACCTTACCAACCCCGGAGGTGTCTTAGCACTAGTGGAGCCACGCATCATCCATGAGCTTTGCGACTACTATGATCATGCTCGATATCATCCCATGCAGTTTACTGCAGCACAGTTTACTCCATACCACAGTTTGCTGCTGCGCATTTTACATTGGTAAGAATTATGGAAAACGTGCAGAGGAGGATGATAAAGTTGATCCCATATATCAGAAATCTTTCCTATGAGGATAGACTGAGGGCCCTGAATCTGCACTCTCAAAAGGCGTAGGATTAGGGGGGATATGATTGAGGTGTATAAATGGAAAACGGGAATAAATAAGGTGGATGTAAATAGCGTGCTGAAATATTTCCAGCCAAGACAGGACTCGCAGCAATGGTTTCAAGTTGGAAAAATTCAGATTCAGGAAGGATATAGGAAAGCACTGGTTTGCTAATAGAGTTGTGGATGAGTGGAACAGACTCCCAAGTACAGTTATAGAAGCTGAAATGTTGTGTAGTTTTAAAAATAGGTTAGATAAATACATGAGTGGGTGTGGGTGGGTGTGAGTTGGACCTTACCAGCTTGTGCTACTAGGTCTGATGCTGTGCTCCTTCCTTAAGTGGACGTGACCTGACTAGGTGGGTCATTGGGTTAAGCCGGAGGGTAACAAAGACCTGCTTTGCATGGGTCAGGAGGCCTGCTGCAGTGTTCCTTCTTTCTTATGTTCTTATGTAAAAAAAAAAACTGAAGATCAAAATTTGCTGTTGTAAAGGTTTATGCATCATAGACTTGCAGGTGTTGCAAGTTACCAGTTTTGAGAAAAGTAAATGTTTGTAATTATTACCACATGTTTTGCATTACAGTAGTTATTATTATACTCACAGAAGTGCATCAGAGTAATATAGTTTGAAGTGCTTTGTCAGAATGTTTAGGTCATCTTTAAAATAAACATATTAGTTCAGTACAATATACAGCCTCTCCTCACTTAGCAACGTACTCGTTTACCGACAACTTAGACTTATGACGGACTCTCTGACCAGTATGCATACCTAAATAATGTATATTAGAGCTGATTTCCTCTATTCTGTTTATTGCAATATACAGTACACAGAGTATATGGAGAGTAAAAGAAAGGTAAAGAGAGTGGTGAGAGAGTGCAAAAGGAGAGTAGATGATAGAGTGGGAGAGGCACTGTCAAGAAATTTTAATGAAAATAAGAAAAAATTTTGGAATGAGTTAAACAAGTTAAGAAAGTCTAGGGAACGTATGGATTTGTCAGTTAAAAACAGAGTAGGGGAGTCAGTAGATGGGGAGAGGGAGGTATTAGGTAGATGGCGAGAATATTTTGAGGAACTTTTAAATGTTGAGGAAGAAAGGGAGGCGGTAATTTCATGCACTGGCCAGGGAGGTATACCATCTTTTAGGAGTGAAGAAGAGCAGAATGTAAGTGTGGGGGAGGTATGCGAGGCATTACGTAGAATGAAAGGGGGTAAAGCAGCTGGAACTGATGGGATCATGACAGAAATGTTAAAAGCAGGGGGAGATATAGTGTTGGAGTGGTTGGTACTTTTGTTTAATAAATGTATGAAAGAGGGGAAGGTACCTAGGGATTGGCGGAGAGCATGTATAGTCCCTTTATATAAAGGGAAAGGGGACAAAAGAGATTGTAAAAATTATAGAGGAATAAGTTTACTGAGTATACCAGGAAAAGTGTATGGTAGGGTTATAATTGAAAGAATTAGAGGTAAGACAGAATGTAGGATGGCAGATGAGCAAGGAGGTTTCAGAGTGGGTAGGGGATGTGTAGATCAAGTGTTTACATTGAAGCATATATGTGAACAGTATTTAGATAAAGGTAGGGAAGTTTTTATTACATTTATGGATTTAGAAAAGACATATGATAGAGTGGATAGAGGAGCAATGTGGCAGATGTTGCAAGTATATGGAATAGGTGGTAAGTTACTAAATGCTGTAAAGAGTTTTTATGAGGATAGTGAGGCTCAGGTTAGGGTGTGTAGAAGAGAGGGCGACTATTTCCCGGTAAAAGTAGGTCTTAGACAGGGATGTGTAATGTCACCATGGTTGTTTAATATATTTATAGATGGGATTGTAAAAGAAGTAAATGCTAGGGTGTTCAGGAGAGGGGTGGGATTAAATTATGGGGAATCAAATTCAAAATGGGAATTGACACAGTTACTTTTTGCTGATGATACTGTGCTTATGGGAGATTCTAAAGAAAAATTGCAAAGTTAGTGGATGAGTTTGGGAATGTGTGTAAAGGTAGAAAGTTGAAAGTGAACATAGAAAAGAGTAAGGTGATGAGGGTATCAAATGATTTAGATAAAGAAAAATTGGATATCAAATTTGGGAAGAGAAGTATGGAAGAAGTGAATGTTTTCAGATACTTGGGAGTTGATGTGTCGGCGGATGGATTTATGAAGGATGAGGTTAATCATAGAATTGATGAAGGAAAAAAGGTGAGTGGTGCGTTGAGGTATATGTGGAGTCAAAAAACGTTATCTATGGAGGCAAAGAAGGTAATGTATGAAAGTATAGTAGTACCAACACTCTTATATGGATGTGAAGCTTTTGTGGTAAATGCAGCAGCAAGGAGACGGTTGGAGGAAGTGGAGATGTCCTGTCTAAGGGCAATGTGAGGTGTAAATATTATGCAGAAAATTCGGAGTGTGGAAATTAGGAAAAGGTGTGGAGTTAATAAAAGTATTAATCAGAGGGCTGAAGAGGGGTTGTTGAGGTGGTTTGGTCATTTAGAGAGAATGGATCAAAGTAGAATGACATGGAAAGCATATAAATCTATAGGGAAAGGAAGGCGGGGTAGGGGTCGTCCTCGAAAGGGTTGGAAAGAGGGGGTAAAGGAGGTTTTGTGGGTGAGGGGCTTGGACTTCCAGCAAGCATGCGTGAGCATGTTAGATAGGACTGAATGGAGACGAATGGTACTTGGGACCTGACGATCTGTTGGAGTGTGAGCAGGGTAATATTTAGTGAAGGGATTCAGGGAAACCGGTTATTTTCATATAGTCGGACTTGAGTCCTGGAAATGGGAAGTACAATGCCTGCACTTTAAAGGAGGGGTTTGGGATATTGGCAGTTTGGAGGGATATGTTGTGTATCTTTATACGTATATGCTTCTAAGCTGTTGTATTCTGAGCACCTCTGCAAAAACAGTGATAATGTGTGAGTGTGGTGAAAGTGTTGGATCGAGGATTGAGGACGACGAGAGCTGTCGTAAGATGGGAAGGAAGAAGGATAAGGATGGAAATAACTGGAAAAGGATGGGGAGGAGGGGAAGAGGAGGAATCAAGGCAAGTGGCCCAACCACTTTGGGACATGTGGTACAAAAGTACTGGAGACGTAGATAGAGAGGCTTGACTGATGTCATTGCTTGGCTCACTAGGAGAGGATGGCGAAGGCAGCGGTAGGAGCTGGGAGTGTCAGAAGGCAGCAAGCAGGATGAGTTGGTTATGGTCTTAAACCGTTTATCAGTGCGGTATATTGTTTTCGAGAGAGTTGTATCACACTTATGGGAGAGCTGTAGTAGTATTCGTTGGTTTGGAGGTGGTGGAGTATCTGGTTGTAGGTAGGGAATGGTCTTTCTTCGCTTTGGTACGATACAGTGTTGTCTTGGAGATGTTGGATGAGTTCTAGGCGAGTCATGCTTGCAGGGTATAGCCTCGTGGTGTAGAATACGAGTCCTTTGTGTTTAAAGCATGGTGTTCCAGGTAATCGACGTGAGCTAAGTAGAGAAGGCGGTGGTGGAGTAGAGGAAGGTGGTGTTGCTTTGTTTTCAACTTCAGTAGACGAATTAGAAGATGTTTCTGGTGGTAAGGCTTCTGATTGGTTGGATTCAGAGAGGTGGTGGAGGTGGAGGCTTCTCATTGGTCGTTGTTGGATTGACGTCACTAGTTGGTGGTGTTGATGGAACTTCTGCAGAAGAGTTGGCGATTAAGTTTTTGGTGAATTTGAGAATTTCTTCAGAAGGTGGAGATGCTGGAAATGTAAATGAAGGCATGTTATTTAATGCAAATAACTCGTTGACGGTAGAGTTAAATGATCCAGGTACAGCCATGTTTTGCATATGAGCGTATAGTAGACAGTAGTGAATCTTCGTTAAGTCACATGTTGGAGGATTGATGGTAGTGGTGGTGGTGGAGGCGGGCTGAGTAGATGCTTGAAGTAATTTTGTAGTGTCTGTTTGTATTTTTGCAATTGCTGCATACATTGGAGTGTTGCTAGTAGGTTTTTTCTTTGCTGCATCTTGTGTTTTCTTCATAATATCCTTTCTTGTAGGACATTTTGCTGCCAGTGTATGGTGATCATTACTCTTGCAGTTTAAGCATGCTGGTTGTGTTGGAGCAGCAGTGGTGCAGGAACTGAAGGTGTGTCCCTCACTACCACATATAGTGCAGAACTTCTTGTCTTTTACTGGACATGCTTTGGTGATGTGATGGTATGAATAACAGTTCCAGCAATGTTGGATGTAGTGATATCTCTCTGCTTCAGTGTAGGTAGGGCTGATGTAGTAGTACAGTGGACCCCCGCATAACGATGGCATCGCATAGCGATTTTTCCGCATAACGATTACTTTTATCGCAAAATTTTTGCCGCGCATACCGATTAAAAACCCGCATACCGATTTTCGTCCGAGACGCGTCCAATGTGCCCTCAGCCAGCCTCACATGTGCCGCTCCGTCCCATTGTTTACCAGCCAGCCTCCGCGGTAACATCCAAGCATACACTCGGAATATTTCGTATTATTACAGTATTTTCGGTGCTGTTTCTGGAAAATAAGTGACCATGGGCCCCAAGAAAGCTTCTAGTGCCAACCCTGTGGTAAAAAGGGTGAGAATTAGTATGGAAATTAAGAAAGATTTTGAAGGGTTTGGGGCTAACCCTGAGAAGCCTATGCCAGTTGTGGAATCCATTGTGCCTACTTCAAAGATTAAGGAAATGTGTGCAGAGTGGGTTGAACTGCAAACCTTTATAGATGAAAATCACCCTGACACAGCTGTTGCAAGCCGTGCTTGTGACTATTTCAATGACAATGTTATGGCCCATTTTAGGAAAGTCTTGAAGGAACGGGAGGTACAGAGCTCTATGGACAGATTTGTTGTTCGACAGAGGTCCAGTGACTCTCAAGCTGGTCCTAGTGGCATTAAAAGAAGAAGGGAAGTAACCCCAGAAAAGGACTTGCTACCTCAAGTCCTAATGGAAGGGGATTCCCCTTCTAAACAGTAAGAAGATAATGCTCTCCCCTCCTCCCATCCCATCAATCATCACCAGATCTTCAATAAAAGTAAGTGTCATGTAATTGTGCATGCCTTTTTCAGTTTGTGTGTATTAAAATTAACATTTCATGTGGTAAAAAAAAATTTTTTTCATACTTTTGGGCGTCTTGCACGGATTAATTTTATTTCCATTATTTCTTATGGGGAAAATTCATTCGCATAACGATTATTTCGCATAACGATGAGCCCTCTTGCACGGATTAAAATCGTTAACCGGGGGTCCACTGTAGTAGACAGCAAGACCTTCGTTCAGTGCAGTGGCAGCCATGTTCACGTCGGTGAAGGTGACCTTGATCATGGACGTTGCATTTGGGATTTTTGTAATGCTGTCAACAGTAGCCCAAGTATTTTGCGTCTCGATGGATGACTTGAGTTCAGCAGGTGTTTGAGACGTCAGAATCTTGTCCAGTTTTTTTAGGAATACTGATTTCCTTGCCCTGAGGGCAGGAGATGACGTAACAGTAAACCCTTGAGTAGTAAGAGTAGTGATGGCTTCTGTAGTGAGTAGCTTCTCTGCTTCAGAATCATGACACACAACAATGAATGCTTCTTTCAGTGACAATATGGTGTTGAATTTTACTTCCAGTGCTCCCTGAACAACAGTTGCAAGAGCAATCTTCGTTGAATCATCAACGGTACCATTTCTTGGTTTGATCTTTACACGATTTGTGTAGCTCATCGTGTAAGTCAAGGCGATGACAACGTTGGTAAAGGTTCCCCTCCCCAACGGGGATCGTAGGGAGACAGAGTAAGTAAGGAGAGCTGCTATGACCTGCCTGGGCGAGAGTCAAGAGCAAAGTCAATTTTCATTTTCAGTGTGTCTGAAAGTGTTGAATGATGATGAAAGTATTTTCTTTTTGTGGATTTTCTTTCTTATTTTGGGTCACCCTGCCTCGGTGGGAAACGGCCGACTTGTTAAAAAAAAAAAAAAAACAGTACACTACTGTATAAACATTTAAAAATATACCAGAAATGTTATGATGCAAAGGTGACATTAAAACAATATCAGAGATGGTAGACACAAACCCACTACCATTATATTATGCTCCTCACTTAATGACGAATTCGTTTACCGACATGGTCTTAGGAACGAAACTCCATTGTTAAGTGAGGAGAGGCTGTATTGTGATTAATATGTGGAATTTTTATAACTATAGAAGAAATATTGTAACTGCATTTCAATGAGTATAATTTTCAGAAATAAAATTTTTGTTGTATCTGTCATCTTTTTTTTGAGTTGCAGTGGTCGCAATGGAGAGAAATTTTCTGGTCGTGTCACTTCCACAGTCAAGGCACCCAGCGATCATGATTCAGCAATTGATGAACCTGAACATGACCACAGTGGGGATGATGAAAACTTAATCATCACAGATTCCAACATGGTGCTGCTCCATAGACCATCATCACTCAAAGTATCTCCTGAAGATAATTTTGAGACATCAGTCTGAAGTTAGTTCATGCTAGAATCTTCTATGCCCTTCAGATTTGGTGTCCACTGGTGCTAACCAGTGTTTATACAAGTAAGATTGTTGCATATTTACCTCATTGTTTGTGCATGCAAAGCAGTCACTGTTAATGTAATGACATGCTTTGTCATTAGCACGGAAATTCTTAAAGCTTTAATTATTTTTTACACTTCCATAACTGTGTTTGATGCTCTATAGGTACAATGCTGTGGGTAAAATTGATCATGCAGATGTATTATTGAATTTTATATTAAATTATTTATGAATTCATATGCTAGAATTTAAGTTAATTTTTCTTGTGGTAGCTCTCTGGCTTTCTGTATGGGTGTAAACTGACATATGGTGTAAACTGACAGATGGTGTAAACTGACAGGAGAAAAGCTAGGTATAGGGTGTTGTGAGTGGATGAGAGCATTGCTTTTTGACAGACTTACAAATGCTGTATGGTTAGGTTGCGAGGGCTCTTTAGGACCAAAGCAAGGGTATTTGAATATTAAGTGGATATATGTTTATAGATTTTAGTTACCCACAGTGAAAAGGAAGAAATAGCACAAATATTTCCAGGTTCAACAAGCGAGTAATTTAACTGTAAGATGGAAGCCTTTATAAATGCAAACAAGTTAGGCCCCAAAGCTAAGAACAAAAGCAAAATGAATACCACAGCAGTTCTTACAGACATGATTGATGGTGGAGATCTCAGCCTTACTCTTGTAATGGTTGTTGATATTTCTCTGTGGTTAGTCAGATTTGAGAAGAGAGGCATTAAACCTAGGCTTGATATTCTTTTTTAAGATATTAACCTTTTTAATATTACTAGTCAAAGTTTTCCTTATTTCTCTGCCACAGACTCTTGATTAACCCACATAAGCAATTTCAGCATCATTGGAATTTATTCTGTCTACATACTTGATGTAATACAGTATTATTTTTATCCCCAGTATGTGCAAATATTGGTGCTGATACAGTTGACATTGAAGTCATTTGTTTCCCAATTATAATACTTATCATAGTCAGAGTAAGGAATCTTATAAAGTTATCCCATATTTATCAAAAAGAGTTACTTTTTTAAAAATTACATGCAAATTAACCCTTTGAGGGTCCGTGCCATAGATATGCGGCTTTACGTTGAGGGTTCAAACCGTAGATGTACGTCATGAGTTCAGCTCGCTCTGCTAAGCTGTGAGCGATAAATTTTGGCCTAGATATGAGAGAATATATCTATGTGGTATGTGTGCACCACATAAAACAAATCCTGCAGCACATAGTGCATAATAAGAGAAAAAACTGAGATCGTAATTATCGATTCAAACAGTGACTTTGCAGTGTTTTTTCGTATGATTTTTATAGTTGTATTTGCGATTTCTTTGTCTCATTTGATAGAATGGAAGATATATTACAGAAATAGAGATAATTTTGATTAGTTTTAGTACTGGAAATGGCTTGAAACTGAGCTCAAAGTAGCGGAAATGTTAAATTTTTGCCGATGTTCAAGAGTAAACAAATGACCTCACACGTCTAATACACGCCTGCTAGTGGATCTAATATATGTTCACAAATGTGGTGAAATTATTTATACAATTATTACAATATTGCATAACAGTAAATCTTCTATTTTTTGGTATGAATAAAAATTTATTATATGAATAAAAAATCAAAATGGAATTCATTAGTAAAGCCTGAAAACGTAACTAATGAACAGAGGAAATGTTAGTTTAGTGCCAGGAATGCCTGCATTGTTTATTCTGGACCCTGTTTTGAAATTGGAGTATTTTGAACTTTGCATTAAATTGGCCAAATTACCAATTTCCGATCACTTTATTTTGTAGTTGAAACAGTTGACTTGGCGAATTCTTGTGCTCAATCGATAGAATAGAAGCAATACTACTGGAATAGCTAAGAATTTGGTCGACTGGAATAATGTAATTGGCCTAAGATGGGAGTCAAAGTTCGCAAAATTGCCGATGCGTAAATATCACTTGACACATCAAAATTTGCGAGAGCATAATTTCGTCAATTTTCCATCAAATTTCATACTTTTTGTTTTATTACCTTCAGAAAAAGATTCTCTACCATTTCATAAGAAAAAATAAAATTATTTTTTGAAAATTCTTGGACACTGGTGCACCCTTTGAAATTTGGCCTCTGGACCCTGAAAGGGTTAATAAAGAACATTCTTCTAAAATTTGACCAGTCATCAAGAAAGATCTCCTGAAGGGATCTTGGTGCTGGTGAAGGGCTCTTGATCCAAAGAGCTGAACCCAAATGCCTCCCAATTCACAGGTGCTATATGACCTCTAGGTTTAGTGCTTCCCAATTCAAAATAAAATAAAGAAAAATCATTGACCAACCAAGTGTAGAGCTGAAGTCTCCATGATAGATACATGACCCTTTCAGGGTTGAGACCCCTGATCTCAAACTTACTCTCAGGATCGAAGAATTAAAAAAAAAAATTATTTTATAAAATGGAGAGTCTTTTTCTGAGGGTAATGAAACCAAAAGTACGAAATTTGATGGAAAACTTACGAAATTACGCTCTTGCAAAGTCAAGAGCCTAATATTGTGCCTAATTTATCAATTAAATTTTATAATAGGTATGTATAGGAGATACATAAGGTTTGCTGCTATCCATAGTTTTAGTATTCATGGCAGATACAGGGGTCCTACTGTATATCATGTATTCTATCAAATGAGACCAAGAAACCAAGAATTTTACCATAAAACCCACATGAAAATACACCGCAATGTCGCTGTTTTAAACCAAAAACATGATTGCAGTTTTTTCTCTTCATGAACTGTGTGCTGCAGGATTTTTTTTATATGGTGCACACTTACTGCATAGACCCATTCTCTAGGCCCAAATTTACTGTTCACAGCTTATCTGAGTGAGCTGAGCTCATGGCGTAGTACTGCAAGACTAACACTAGCTTCAAAGCCGTTATATAATGGGACCACACCGAAAGGGATAAGGGTCATAATCACTTTGTGGGCTTACTCTAGTGCTCCATTTTCCTGTAGCCTTGGAACCAAACTTGTTTGAACATACAGTAAGTCCTCACTTAACATCGTTTCACTATAACATTGATGAGAAAAACAAAATTGGTTCCTGGCTGGGGCCACTGTCTGTGTGGAGTTTGCACATTCTTCCCATATCTGCATGGGTTTTCTCCAGGTACTCCAGTTTCCTCCTACATCCTAAAGATGTGCACATGAGGTTAATTGACGTGTCTAAATTGTCCAAGCATGAGTGGGTGTGGATGTGTGTGTGTATGTGAGTGTGCTGTGCAGTAGAATGGCATCTTGTCCAGGGTTGGTTCCCACTCGTGCCCTGAACTGCAGGGATAGGCTGCAGCCACCAGCAGCCCTGAACTGGAATAAGAGGGTTGGAAAATGAATGTATGAATGAATACAAATTATTGTATAATAAGAATTCGTAAAGTATACGATAATCATACAAATGCACGACATTAAGTGATGAGCCACAAAAGCTCTCACCAAGCCTGCCATATTTATTATTGTTTGCTTTTGAACTGTGTGGTGGTAGGTGCTCCTTATAGTTTTTTGCTTTTGCAAACATTTATTCCTTGATTTTACCCTGTTGCAACGAGGGCTAAAAGTGCACTGTGCACCCCTGTTGTTCACATCAGTCAGCCTATACTAAAAATTGGTTTTATGTATGTCGTGTCGCTTAAGGTCGCAGTTTCCAGGAACCTGTCGATGATGTTAAGCGAGGATTTACTGTACGAGTTTCCCTCTTGTATATTAAGGGTCTTGATCCAGGAAAGTGAGCCCCTACGGGTTTAGTTCCTTAATTAATAATAATTTTCTTGTATATTACTAGCCTGAATTATGTATTATTATTTTTAGGGGAAAGTGCTAAACCCATAAGGGTCATACAGTGCATGGGGGAATTGTCAGGTTTGATCCAAAAAAGGGGAGGACAGATCCAATTAATTGCATCAGGATCCCCTCACCATCATCAAAGGACTTTTTGAGTGGTTATTAGCAAGATGGGTCTCCAGGTAGACCAAAAATATTTGTGCTGTTTCTTGTGTTTTTTTTTATATGGAAAGATAAAAGCCATACAATTGGTATATGATTTACTCACTATAATTTTTATAAAACTTAAAAAATTGTAAAATTGAAACTTTTCCTGAATAACCATATATATATTACTAGATCCATGTGGATAAATTCACCTAACTTTAGATACTGTATTTCAATATTATTTTTATTTAAATGATCCAAAGAAGAAATTCTGAAATCATCTTTGGTATCAGAACTTTTAAACATTACGCAAGTATGTAAAACATTGTATGCTATTTATTTATTTATCAATTAAAACAATGTGTATAAAAAAATAATTAGCTATTATAGGCAGGGTGTTACTGAGCAGTGTTGACCAGATGCTATAAGACACCATCTCATGGAATCCTACAGGTTCATTACTTTTTTTCATCATCAAGACAATAGGAAATAGTAATAGTATATTGAAAAGCCATTAACTGTTAATTCATAAAGCATATTTTTTATTAAATTAATCCTTTCAGGGTCGAGACCCCGGATCTCAAACTTGCTTTCAGGGTCAAAGAATTTAGAAAAAAAAAATTATTTTATCTTATGAAATGATAAAGGAAAGGATATTTTCTGAAGGTAATGAAACTAAAAGTACGAAATTTGATGGAAAATTTATGGAATTACTCTCTTGCAAAGTTAGCATTCTCGGCGATGTTTATGCATTGGCGATTTCGCCCACTTTGTGCCCTATTTTTGACCATTTCCAATGTTCCAGTCAACTGAATTCATAGCTATTTCACTAGTATTCCTTCTTATCTAACGATTTCAACTACCCAATAAAGTGATCAGAAATCTGTAATTTGGCCAATTTCACACAAATTAAAAAATGGCCAATTTAAAAATAAGGCCCAGAGTAAATAATGTAGACATTCCTGGCATTAAAAAAAAAAGACATTTTCTCGGTTTCTTAGTCACATCTCCAGGCCCCTCTTATATTAAGCTTGCTTTCCATTTTGAATTTTTATTCACACAAAATATTTACTGTTATGCAGACTACTGCATAATTGTTTAACCCTTTCAGGGTCCAAGGCCAAAATCTGAAGTGGTGCCCCAGTGTCCAAGAAATTTTGAGAAAAAAAAAAAAAAAATTTCTTACAGAATTAAAGATAATATTTTTGTAAAGGTAATAAAGAAAAAAAAAAAATTCTGATCAGTACTTACCGAGATACAGTGGCAGGAAGTTGTCCCAAAATGAACGGGTGGCAGCAACATCAGTGGCTTCTGCAAAATCCCATTTTTTTATTTTACGTTTTTTATACTTTTTTCTTTTTTAATTTTTTTCTTTTTCTAATAACATTTGTGGCCTGTGAGACCAGTATAATGTATATTGTATAAGTGTACACTCATTGTATTCAACACAATAACTGCACTAATTTGTTTATCATTATATTGCTTACAAAATTTGCAAGTTTATTGTAAACAAAATGATGAAAACAGTGCGGTTATTGTGTTGAATACAACAGTACCATATAGTACCATATGGTACAATGGTGCCATAGGGTGTAATGGTACCATATGGTACAATGGCACCATATGATACAATGGTACCATATGGTACAATGGCACATGATACAATGGTACCATATGGTACAATGGCACCATATGATACAGTGGTACCATATGGTGCAATGGTACCATATAGTACATTGTACCATAAAGTACAATGATACCATATGGTTCATTGTACCGTATGGTACTGTTGTATTCAACACAATAAACACATTAATATTTTCATTATTTTGTTTACAATAGTTGTTTACAACAAAAATATGCAAAAATGTTGTATATTAGTAATGTTCTATTATATATTTACAAGTGTACAGGAACTTGACGCGTTCCTTGAGGTGGATGACAAAGGACTTTGTCTCGGAAACTGCAGAGTCAGTAGCTAGCTTGTGTCGCCACTCACTTAGTCTTGGCTGGTGTCTAATGCCACCAACACCTCTTGACCATATGGTACATGGTATCATATGTTACAGGGTACCATATGGTACATTGTACTATATGGTATAGGGTACTGTGCAGTACAGGATAACATATGGTACAGGGTACCATATGGCACAGGGTACCATACAGTACAGGACACCATATGGTACAGATACAGGGATAACTATGGAAATAAGTCACCCTGACTTTTTTGGGTTATCCTAGGATTTTATACGTATGCTGCTATGTATGATAATCTATGTAATTGTATTTCTGTACACCTGAATAAGCTTACTCAAGTACATGTGGCATCATAAGTAAGTTTATTTAGGTATACACAAACAAAGTTACATAGAATATCATACTTAGCAGCATATGTTTGGAGAACCTAGGATAACCAAAAAAAGTCAGACTTATTTCCATTAGAGTCCTTGTACCTTGTACCATATGGTACAATGTACTATATGGTACATTGTACCACATGGTACCATATGATACCATTGTATGACATGGCACCATATGATACCATTGTATGACATGACACCATTATACCATATGGTACCATTGTACCATATGGCACAATGGTACCATACGGTTCAAAACCATATAATTCGTCTTCAGCTCCACTTCCATCAGTCTTAGAACTGTAAGTTGTGAAGAGGAGAGTCAGAATTCACCCAGAGTGTGAGTGGGGAGTGAGAGCTTCCTGGATGAACAAAGCTACTTTGCCACCATTCCCACAATGCCATGCGGGCGTCCAGATTTTTTCTATGGTGTGCACACTGACCACCCAGACCCATTCTCTCAGATGTAGGCCTACCAGCCTTCTCGTGCTAAATTTGACGCCGCTAGAATTTTGGCGTAGATCTACGGTTTGGACCCCGAATGTAAAGCCGTAGATCTACGGGATGGACCCTTAATGGGTTCAATAATGTCAGTGTATTCCTAAATGCATAGTAGGCTGTCCAACTGGACGTGTATTGGACAATTGACGTCGTTGTGTACTCTGGAATATGGGCAAAAATCAAACATTTCCACTAATTCGAGCTCAATTTCAAGCTACTTTCAATCCTGAAACCAATCAAAATCATCTCTATTTCTGTAATATATCTTCCATTCTATCAACTGAGACCAAGTAACCGAGAATACAACCATAAAAATCCAAAGATACACTGCAAAGTCACTGTTTGAACCCAGAATCATGGTCGCAGGTTTTTCTCATTATGCACTGCCTGCTGTAGGATTTTCTTTATATGGTGCACACTTACTACATAAACCCATTCTCTCCTATCTAGGCTCAAATTTACCACTCTCATCTTATCTGAGTGAGCTGAGTTTGTGTAGTACTACAGGACTGACCCTGGCTTCAAGGCCATAGTCCAAGGGGACTGACACTGAACTAATGCATAATTTTATATACAGTGGACCCTCGACTAACGCTATTAATCCGTTCCTGAGAGCTCACCGTTAGTCAAAATTATCGTTAGTCAAGTTAATTTTCCCCATAAGATATAATGGAAATCAAATTAATCCGTGTAGGACACCCCAAAGTATGAAAAAAAAATTGTTTTTACCACATGAAATATTAATTTTAATACACACAAACTGAAGAAGACATGCACAGTTACATGACACCTTTATTGAAGATCAGGTGATGATTGATGGGATGGGAGGAGGGGAGAGTGTTGATGGTCTTAGTGTTTAGAAGGGGAATCCCCTTCCATTAGGACTTGAGGTGGCAAGTCCTTTTCCGGGGTTACTTCCCTTCCCTTTAAATCTCTAAAACCAACCTTTGCTGGCCTTAAATTCACTCACATCACCACTAGTTGCTGGCATTTTTTTAATTAAATCATCATGCAACTTCCTAGCCTTTTCACATATGATCGCTTGAGAGATGCTATCTCCTGCTATCTGTTTTTCGTTTATCCACACCAATAACAGTCTCTCAACATCTTCGAGTACTTGCGATCTCAGTTTCGAAAACATAGTTGCACCTTTGGCAAGAACAGCTTCCTTGATTGCCGTTTTCTTGCCCACAATAGTAGCGATGGTTGATTGGGGTTTTGTGTACAACCTGGCCAGCTCGGAGACACGCACTCCACTTTCATACTTAGCAATGATCTCTTTCTTCATATCCATAGTAATTCTCACCCTTTTTGCTGTAGGGTTGGCACTAGAAGCTTTCTTGGGGCCCATGGTGACTTATTTTGCAGGTGCAATCACTAAAAAGGCTGTGATAATATGAAATGTTCCGATTGTATGCTTGGAAGCGACCGCGGTAGCTGGCTGGCTTGTAAACACTGGCCAGAAGTGGACACGTCTCAGATGGAACGAATAGTGTTGGTCGAGTTTTTTAGCGCTAGTCGAGGCAAAATTTTTGCATTAAAATGTATTGCTAGTCGGATTTATCGTTAATCGATGCCATCGTTGGTCGAGGGTCCACTGTATATAAAAGTAACAAGTAATTCAACACCATTATTTAAACTGACAATTAGAACCATGATCACAGAGCTTAGGGAAAGAGTTAACTGACTCAAGATGCAGTGTTGCTTCAGATAACTGTCACAATGTAGAGCTGATCAGTGTAGTCTTAGTTATTTACACACAGAAAAGTGTTAGAGACATCATGCATTTTAGGCAGTAGGTGCAACAAGCCAAATGGCCTTAATAATAATTCTTTTAGAATTTTTTTCCTATGCATTGATGGACAACATTTGTGAATTACAATTGAATAAAATTTGTAATGCTGTACAGTTAACAAGACATGCATAGTAGGGGCCCACTTATACGGCAGGTTAGGTGCCAGGCTACCGCTAGAAAGTGGACATCGCAGGAAAGCAGAACGCCATTTTTTCCCACTTATAAATGCCAGATAACAAGTTTACACTAACATATATTAAGGTAGCAATAGAACTAGGCATTAAAAACAATAAAAAGTAAAATACACACACAGTACACTTATTATACTTATCTCAGAATATTTGTAGTCTTAATATAGGGAGAGGTGAGTAGTATTTATTGTAAGAAGTCAGGTGTGGTAGGTATGGTAGCCCTCCTGGCCAACCTACTCACAAAAAAATTTACTATGACGTTTAAAGTGCCCTAGAGTGATAAAATGCATGTACAGTACACTCATTACTCACTTTAAAATATTTGTCTTAATGTAGGGTGAGAGGTGAGTAAGCGAGATAAAAATGAATAAACAAGAGGGAACGAGTAAATGAGAGAGGACGGAGCTGCAGTGTAAACAAATAGATGAATGCATCTGGTTATGATTCATACTAGCACCTTACATTCTGTACAAGTTGTCTCCACAATGGTACATAGAATAAATAAAGAGCAACACTCCCATTCTTATGTAACATCATTCAACTGGGTGAGATTATGAAATAGTACAGTGGTCCTCCGCTTTCAGTAGTTCCCGCAATTTGTAAATTTGTCAACTAAGAAGGATTATTTTCTCGATAAACATGGCATCGCTTTTCATAAGTACTCGCAATTCGTTAATTATACGGGGATACCAATACCAGGCCTGATCCGTTGCCGGCACCATCTGAATTTCTACCATGAGGAAGTCCCCTCACGATACATGAAATATTTCATAATGTTCCAGTTATTTAGTGCTTTCAGACTAAATAAGCTCCCATGGCTCCAAAGAAAGCCTCCAGTGCCAAGCCTGTGTAAAGAAGGTGGTACCTAGGTAGCAGAATTTAAAATATCCATCATTGAAATATGTAAAGTGGTACAAGTGACCGAACTGGCCGGAAGATAAGAACCCTACACAACCTTATGGTTCCATAGTGGCCAAATAAAAGGAAATCAAGGAATCGTCGTTGTAAAAAGGGATAGACAAGTGTCACAAAAATGAGATCACCAGTACGAACAGTGAAAGTTATTTATGGTGGGATAAATGAAAACAATAGCAGGAGATACGCTTATGACTTCGATTATTTGTAAAAGCTAGGCAAATTGCATGAAATTTGTAAGAAATGCTGAAAAGTTTATTGTGGTGATAATTAGCAGCAAATGCAGGAGAATCTTATGACTTCTTATTGTGAAAAGCTGTGTATTGCATGAATATTTGGTAAAGAAATTGCCTGCAAATAGTGGTGACGTGAGTGAATTTAAGGCCAGCAAAGGCTGGTTTGAGAGATTTAAGAACTGTACTGGCATACACAGTGTGGTAAGGCATGGTGAGGCTGCCAGTTCGGACCACAAGGCAGCTGAAAAATATGTGCATGAATTCCAGGAGTACATAGAGGCTGAAGGACTGAAACCTGAACAAGTGTTCAATTGTGACGAAACAGGCCTCTTTTGGAAGAAAATGCCAAAGAGGACCTTCATTACACAAGAGGAAAAGGCAATGCCAGGATACAAGCCTATGAAAGACAGGCTGATGCTAATGTTCTGTGCTAATGCTAGTGGGGATTTCAAAGTGAAGCCATTACTAGTGTACCATTCTGAAAATCCCAGTGTGTTCAGGAAAAACAATGTTATGAAGAGTAAATTGTGTGTGTTTTGGAAGTCTAATAGTAAGGCATGGGTCACGAGGGAAATTTTCGTCGAGTGGTTCAATGAAGTGTTTGGCCCTAGTGTGAAGGAGTATCTCCTGGAAAAGAAATTGGATCTCA